CCCTACACGACGCTCTTCCGATCTCCCCAAAACCCCAAAACCCCATTCATAAGTATTTTCAATTTTATTGAGATGAGGATTCATATGAAAATAAATGAAAATGTTCTTGAGTGAGTTGAGTTAAAAATTTTGAAAAATAAAGGGCCCTATTTCAGAAGCCCAGCCATCTATTATACAGTTATACTTATTATATATAGTATACTATATTAAGTTAATTACCGTAAGGAGGCGAGCGGCGAGAGAACCCAAAGCTGCTGACCTGCGGATGAGATTCCTACGACAGCATCCACGTGAGGAGACAAGCAAGGACTCACGTGAATGATGAGCGTGCATACCTGTGAGAGAGGGTTTCTCAATCCCTCCAATGGTACCAAGGGAGGGAGAGAAACCAATTCGTTTGGTAGACCTATCAAATCGGTGAAAGTATCATGTTCATAGCCTAAGAATCCGCACGCACTTAGCCAGTGCTAACGCATCTCACTAGACATCTCCAAGAACCTAACTAACTCTCAAGGTTCATCAAGGCAACGGACAAACCCTCAGAGCTAATTAAATCTTCGAAATGTCCATAGAGGAAACACTTATACATAACACCAACTAATGCGGGACTCAATTAGGGGAAATCGTAGATGGCAATCTATTATAATTCTGACAAATTTATAGAGGAAATAGAAATTATCAAAAAAGTTAATGGGTCTGATTTAAATGCAACAATAGCTAATTAAATTAGTTAGTAAACGTCCCTCACATAATTAAATTCAGCTATTAAATCAAACTTAAACTTAAAATACAAAAATGGACAGAAGATATTCCTAGATTGATTAACTATAAGGATAAGGAAACAATGCTTTTAAGCTAATAAATGATCTTTAGAGAAGAATGAGCGTCAATATGAATGCCAAGAATGTTGTTAATGTCTATAAGATGAGTTAGGAATATTTATGTGGTCTATGCTAAGGAATACTAGTAGATCCTATGCAATGTAAAAAATGTAAAAACAATTTTCACCGCGCGTGTCTGGCTTTATTTTGCAAAGAAACAGGTAAGTGCCCAATGAATTGTGTTAAGCCCAAATTTTTGCCTTTAAAAAATGAGAAAATGAGCAAACAAGTATAAGAACTAAAGTTCAGATGTACAAACTTTAGTTAAGGGTGTAGAGAATTGATAAGCTATGAAGATGCTCCAGATCATGACGCAAACTGCTTTTATGCTACAGTTAAATGTGAAGCATTTGTCTATTGCAAAGCGAAACAGTTGAGAAAAGACTATGATACTCATGTCAAGCTGTGCCCTTTTGTTGAAATTCAATGCACTTTTTGTTTAGCAATGATGTAAAGACAAAGAATGAAAAATCATTTAGACAACTATTGTGATGGGTTTTAAGAATGCTTGACTTGCCAACAAAGAATATCCCTTAGTGAGTATTAAAATAATGAGCATTCTTGTTTTAAGACTCTTCTAATGACTTTAAATAAACTAGTAGATGATAAAAATGAAGCATCGGAATGCATCCATGTAGAAGTTCAGAAGAAAAACTAATAGATCAGAAAGATTTTTGAATCCTAACAGCAGAGTATGGGGCAACTCGATAATTTGATATAAGTCTTAGAGTATGATAAAAGCAAATAAAACAAGCATTTAGGTTAAGATCCAGAAAGCAGACTAAAGCAAAACATGCTTCTTTTAAATAGAAAAGAAATTTTTCGAATCAATTATAACTCAGATCAACTTATAGTTAATCCTATAGATTTGAAGGAGGAATAGCTAAAATTTAAAAATCTCATTGAGAATTTAAAGTATAAAACAATAGATCATATGAACTTTCTTAATTCTGAATGGAATATTTACAAAAATGGCATATTTGTAAAGGAATTTGAAAATCACTGTGCTTTTAAATACAAACTAAAAATAAATAATAGTATTGATTAAATAGCAGAGAGTCTTATTGATCCATTATAGCAAGAAAAATTTAATATCAACTTAAAAAGAATAGAGATAATCTAGGATTTTCCTAATTACACCTAACTTGTACATTTGGAGTCTAAAGGATAGTACTTTATTGCACCTAGAGAATATTTATATATCCAAAGAGTCCAAAAAGTAAGCTGCTATGAAATATGGGTGATGTCAGAAAGTATTGATGATAATTTTGAAATAGTACAAGAGAAATTTGGAGTTAGAAGGGGCAAAATAATTAGAGAAGGATGGAGATTGAAGCATAAATACCAAAATTAGTCAAAGTGCACTTATTACAGTCAATGTGATTTAGGAATTTCTAAGGCTCTTCAGAAGCAAATGTTCTACAAGGTAATTGAATAGATTCAAAATTTCAAGGAATATATGGCTAATTAAAATTGATAAGGTGAAATGAACTTCTTTTAAATAATTATTAAGGATGACTAAATAGGTATGAAAGTAGTGTTATAATTTTACAAATAATTATCAATAATATATTTTAAGTTTTAATTTGAATAAATATGTCTGAGAGAGGACAAGATGAATATGAAAATGAAGATGATTAGTTGACACCTGAACAAAGACAAATGAGGGAAAATCTTGAAAGACATAAAAAGGAACTTAATGAATTGAAGAAGGAGATTAGCAAACTAAAGAAATAATTTAAGAAATTACCAGAGGATAAGAGGCAAGACATTCTAGATGATTTGCTTATGGATTAGGAATCAAAGGCAAATGATTACAGATACTTAAACAAAGTCTTCGATAACATCAATTTAAACACTCTTGATAAAAGAAAGCTAAATGAAAACACTAAATACATTCAACAGCTAAATCTATTTGTAAGTAACTTAATTTTTATGACTTTAAGCATTCTAATATATATATGGCTTTAATCTGGCAATAAAACTAACTTACAAATTATTTATAGAATATTAAAACGAATCTTGTCAATGGGAAAGCGAGTAGGGACAGCTAGCTAAAGATCGCTAATATGGAATCTGTTATTAGAAGATCCATTAATAACACAGAATAGGCTTAAAGCGCAAGAGTTGCTATCCAATAAGCTAAATAATCAGAACTTATGCAAATATTGGAGAAAAATGAAGATAGGGAGGAAACCATCAATGAAATCAGGAAGAAAGAATTATTATACAGGATTAAGAATAACCTAAATGAGATGTCTAAGTCAAATAGCGTAAAGGTAATAAGATAGGATAAAAAGGACCCTGAACCTATATTAGAGAAAGATGAATATGGATGGCCAAGAAAAACTGAATAAAGAAAATCTATAATGTTTGGATCCTTAGTTGCTTCATAAAGAGGAGTTTTATCTTAGCTTAAAAAGAAGTAAATTAAAAACAAAAACTCTATGAGACAGTTTTCAAAGTAGTAGTAGGGTAGTATTTTTAACAAGATCCCCAGTATCATGAAAACAGATACTGACTCGCTTCTATCTGGAGGCGCTCTATCGAAAAAAGATAGTTTACATTCCTCGCTATTAGAGAGTGAAATTACAATCGACAAGGATAACATACCATACAATGAACATCACCACATTCACATTATTGATCCTTTAAGTGAAAACCTAGAAACACTCGAGATACCTCCTATTTAAAATAAGGCTTTTTCTCAACTGCCTAGATACTCAAATCAACTAGACAAGCAAGCACTTTTAAATCTATAGCAGCAATAAACAGCAATGGATGGACTATATTCAACCACTAATAAGTATCAATTTATGAAATAACCTCCTTCTTTAATGATGAAGAAATTTTTCAAAGGCTATTCTACAACCAGATCTACTTCATAGTTACCAAGGAATGAAATGACTGAGTATAATCATGAATAAAATAGACAACTCAATACTATTTAAGATGCACAAGCCACAGGAAAAAGTGAGAAGATTATATATCTTAAGTAGTAAATCGCGTAAACGGCTATTCCAAGTATGTACCTTTAGCGTAAAGACAAACTGCATTTTTCTGATCTTGCCCCTTCGATATTATTTTCAAAGCAAGATCATAAGAAGTATCTATAAAACGCATTGAAATATAATAAGGGTACACTAGCAAAGATAAACGCAGAATTTTCAAGTAGGAATTAAGAGATATAAGCTAACTGCGAGAATACTAATAATACATTTTATGATAGTCAGGTTGAGAAGAAAAGAATGTTCAAGAATTAGAGTGTTGGAATGCTTAGAAAGAGCAATAATCTGATACCCGCTCCTATCTCTAAAAGACTCGTATCACCACCTATAAACGACAATATATAATTACCTACTCCAGGTGGGAGCAACAATGGTATGAAACTCAGGAAATAAACTGATGTAATAATATAAATGAAGTATCGAAGTAGATCAGATTTAAAGGGGCAATAAAATACTTAGGAATTTATACAAAATTGATAACAAATTACTGAATAAACTAATTAACTTACTCCATTCTTATTTTTCGATTCATCCTTTGGGGTTTTGGGGTTTTGGGGTTTTGGGG